TCAACTCTCTGGGATCAATTGCTTTTATCTCGGGGCAGTGGCGACATATGAGGGTTGAGGATGCTTCATCAAAGCGTCGTATTCTAGCTCCTCGACGCTCAGCATATCTAAACTTTTACTTCATTTCTCGCGCACGGATTGACCTTATATTGTGTGCAATGCGATTCAAGAAATTAATGTCTGGAAGCGGAGGTCACGATCTCAGTTGGGTGCTTATGAAAAGCTGCTGATGGACTCACTGTTCAGTGAGTTCTGAGAAATAAAGAATCTACTAGGGAAGGTCGTCAGGTCGAAGTGGCCATTTGTGATGAGATGTAGATCACTAGACGTGGTTTTGGACGCTGATCTTGCCTTCAAAATTTGCAAAGCGATTCTCTGAACGGAGTTATGGAGCCGCGTTTACCACGCAACAGGTCATGGGATCGGATCCCTGCTGAGCTTAACTTTTTTGCTTGTTGCGCAAACGTGGCAAAAAGTGATTTTGCCGTCACTACTACTTCAGTAATAAATGGAGGCAAACTTTTCTTCAGACAAGCTCAGGTGAGAACTGAAGTAGTAGTGACGGCAAAATCACTTTTTGCCACGTTTGCGCAACAAGCAAAAAAGTTAAGCTCAGCAGGGATCCGATCCCATGACCTGTTGCGTGGTAAACGCGGCTCCATAACTCCGTTCAGAGAATCGCTTTGCAAATTTTGAAGGCAGATTCAAGATCAGCGTCCAAAACCACGTCTAGTGATCTACATCTCATCACAAATGGCCACTTCGACCTGACGACCTTCCCTAGTAAGAAAGTAGCTTATTGTTAGCTTCAAACCTCCGATATCTGTTGGAGTCTTCTGTTTGTTATCATACCAAAAACATCTTGTAAAGATGGTTTTTCCGCAGTAGCCGCTAATTAATAACAAATGACATTTCACCACAATACTTATTTTCAACGGTGACTATCACATGTGGAGTAGAAAGACATAGCAATAGGAGGCGCTATCACCGCATACATAATTTGGAGACTGAGTCCCAGGTGGTAAACAGGTGTTGATCAGATTCCGTTATTTGGTTTCAGATCGTTTCGAGAGGCAGATCAGGTTTGATACCGGAACAGCACTACTCTGCTGGTTACAAGTACAATTAAAATTCACCTAAACTATAAACGAAAATTGAGGGGTAGACGCGTCTGGGCTTGATGACTTATCTTCTTTATTATCTCAGGTGATGTGATTCTCGATCCGATGTGTGGAGGTGGCTCCATCACTCTGGAGGCTGCGTTGGCATTCCCTGGATGCCTGTTCATCGGTGCCGATATCCATCCAAAAGCAATAGAACGATGCTTACGAAAATGTGGTGGGTTTCGATTGTTTCCAAATTGTTCACGATACAGGAGCCCCCTCGGGATTGTAAATGACGTTACTTAGTCTTTTTCGCTCCACTATTTGAGTCCAGGCTCATTTTAATCAAAAGTTCATGCGTAGGTAGGTTTTGCTAGAACATGCTCTTGGATAGTGACCTGCACTCGAGGGGGGGGGCGACCTGACGTCTTAACACGGACATGGAATCCGCTTGAAGCTACATCCACTGGCGCCCTTTTGATGAAGACGCTCGCAGCCACGTAGTAGGCGCTAAGGCGGCCTCCGCGGCGCAAAAGCGAGTGACGATAGGGGTGGGACATGCTTTCTCTCTTCTCACAGGCCCGGCCCACCTTTATTGGCTCCGCCCATTGAACTACGTATAAACCTACGGATAACTAGAAATCAGTCCTTTGTTCCGTGTCAATTATCTGTTTTCTCTGACTTTTGGCTGTCAATAATGGGACCTGCTACTTTTAAACTTTTCACGCAATATAAACGCGCACCTACTCCAGAGTCCCCTCCTTCTTGTAAAAGCTCATCCTCTGGCTCATGATTTTTTGGTCCCTTTTAGTGCTCTAGCAGCAGCTATTCTCTAAAGATCTGTCTATCTGTTCCCGTAATAGGTTCATACTCAAAACTTCCACAAAACTTCGTGTGGATCTTCAGTTATTGCTCCTCGTACAACACGTAGACACGTGAGGACTTAGACTTCTTTGCATGTTCTTGCTGCGAAATCCTGAGTGCAAGCTGATAGTGGACAAGAGCTGCCAGATTATCGCAAGTTTCAAAAGCATGTCGAGAACGAGGGATGGCCTTCTCAATGGCAAGTCAAACCTTCGTATGAGAAATCCTAGGCAAAACTTCGGAAGGCTTTTGAATAAACGCTGAAAACCCAACAAAGAGCAGGGGAGTTGAATGCCTAGCATGCAGAACCGTGTTAACCAAGGGGAGTCGTACACAACTCCGCGCTGTACGGTGCCAAGTAGAGTCCGGCACACTGGCCTTTGGTTCACCAGACGTTACACATGAGTTATGAGTTAGGGCCTTCTTCACTATATGCAATGAAAAGCGTTTCCTTTTTCGAGTATGATTCACTTATTTCCGCTGTTTAGTTGAACATGACATTCAAATTATGTGACGTATTCTGAGTAGACAGTAGTGCAGTAAAGTCTCTCCATAAAACTTAGCGACTACACTTTTGTGCTGTTTTGGGCTCACCCACCCTGCGTTTACCCCCCCCCCCCCCCATTTCCCCTCGGCCAAGTACGACCCTTCGATGGGTTTCGCACAACGATGCTGTATCCCAGCAGTTGAACTTGTCCCTGAGCGTGGACAGACTTGGATTTAAAGGGAACCAAATGGGTTAATACTCATGAACAGAACACTGCATATAATGAAAGGTTTTTTAGCAATACTGCAGCACTGATTTGCTACAAAGTGGCTCGGAAGTGGCGTTCATCACTTGTAATGCGGTCAGTCTACCATTTGCTGAGAGTTCGATCGACAGCATTGTCACTGATCTCCCGTAGGTCTACTTTTCGCAGTAATGCTCTTTTATAGCGGCAGTCGCTCACTAAAAAAACGATGATCATGTTTACATTCGGCCTGAGAAT